TCAAAAAGCAGAAATAAACTCGTATGTGTCTCGTATTTACAAAATTTGCTTCTTTCATGGGCATTTTCTCAAAGTTTACAAAATTACGGCCTTTCAGTTTTTTGCCTTAATCTTTTTGATATTATTCTCCACATACAATTTCTCTGTATTGTTGGACATTCTTTGCTGCTTAAATAGAATCTATTAGTTAACACTGTAATAAGATTACTTCACTGGAGAGTATCCTGCATATTTTTCCTGTTATGAATTGCTTGTAATAATATTTGGCTTATTTATTGCTTTAATCTGAGTCTTTGTCATGAAGGCAAAGGATCATCAGGTGTGAATACTGTTATGTAGATCTTCCTGGATATGTTTGATAATGTGGAGCCCCGGCCCTGTGTTGAGCATGTAGATAACAATACGATTCCTTCATGTTTCTCTACCATGGGTGTCCGCTTGAGAGGAAGCCTGCCTTTGAGGTTGACTTCTGGCAAGGAGTCTTTCAACATGAGTCCTTATTGAAGTCCTGTTTCTTGGGTTCTTGCAACTTGTACGTTGTAAATTGAACAGCTTTGCAGAGCACTGTTCTTGCCTCTATGCTTGTTGAATTCTGTTAGGTATATTTGAAACATTTCTTTCCTTAAAATGTTTCTATTATTTATGTAATTCACATATTACAAATATAAACTATATGTAACTTATGAATAATTGTAGGCTCCTGTTCTCAGTAGAAAAGGATACCGTTTGTAATTTAAAAGAGAGGGGAGAATATTAGGTGCATTATTACTATTAAGAATGGGACTTTGTATCTTCAATGCTTTATTCTTTATGAAGTCTTCAGAAAAGTATATGTGGTATTTGGCTTGTATACATTTCTGACTATATGAAAAAACCTTAGGGTGTGTTAGAGATGCTTTTTCACTATTAACAATTCAAATGTTTTGGCATAGGAGGGTAAAATGCAACATTAACTTGCACATTGTTCTCATTGACCCAGTTTTATCCTAAAATTAATTAAAAACACTATTTTTGTCCAAAGTATAGTCTTGTTACAGTTAAGCTTTAAGATTTTAATTAAAGGAGACTTTTTCTTTTAATGCTTTTTTTCCCATATTTGACAGTACCATTTTTGATGAACAGCTATTCCTTAAAGTGCCTTTATCTTTGTGTATGCATTCTCACAGATTTCAAAATCCAAATTACCAGTATCACTAAAAAAGATGCACATGTAAAGGAACGCCACATGATGTTTCATTAGTGTTGATTATATTGCAGTGTACAGGAAAATTGGCCACAGAACTTGACTGGCTTTGAACATTGTGTTCAAATAGTAAGATAAGTCTCCTTTTTAAAGCCTAAATATTGGCAACTAGAATTTGGCTAAATACTAGAGATTAGAGTTGTGGACTACTGTACTGTCAGGTACCTTATAAGACACATATTTTCTAAGGATATGAAACATAAAACTGCCCCAATGAAAAATCTGGGGCCCACACTCTTGTAGGAGAACATTGTTCCAAGGTTTTTTAGTAGTGTAAGTAAGAGTCTTTCTGATGGATTGCAGCAGACATTTATGTGCCCTCCCTCGCTACAAGAATAAAATTTTGTAAATAGAGTAGGAATCAGGATTCTGTGTAGGATTTTGGACAATACGCCTTCAAGAGAACTTATCTATGGAAATAAAATAAAAAAAGGATTTAGCGAAATAGTCAATATTTTACAATCATTAGCAGACTTGAAAATTTAGTGTTTAGAATTTAATATTTTTTAATGCCAAAACATAAAAGTGAACTGAATTTTAAGTTAGTTGATCTTTGAAGAAATGAATTAAAGAAACATTGTACTGAATGGAAATAATCAAATGTGGTATAGACTTTAAATAGCATCCTAATGAAAACATGACTCTTAAGACCTCTAAGGAATGAGGTAACATTTCTGTCTTTTAAATCAGTGGTCACTAACTGGTGTCCATGGACCACTGATGGTCCGTGAGGCCGAAAGTTGGCGACCGCTGTTTTAAATGATTACTGAAACTGGTTTATAAAAGGCTAAATCTGATTTTATTGTATCCTAGGAGGATGAAATAACACATGGATGAAGCTACCTGAAATCCTACTTCCAGCATGAATCAAGTTTAGAGATGATATCCTGAAGTCATTTATTTTCAGGTGGGTCTCTGTTGTAATTGTTTATTCGTTCCTTCCTAGTTTTGTTCTTTTTCTTTATTGATTAAGGTATTACATATGTGTCCTTATTACCCCATTGCCCGACCCCCCTACTCATGCCCTCACCCCCCTGGTGTCTGTGTCCACTGGTTATGCTTATATGCATGCATACAAGTCCTTTGGTTGATCTCTCCCCCTTCCTAGTTTCTTTAGTGATTTTCCCTGGTGCTGTTGACTTGGTGAACAGTCCATTTTCTCTGAGCAAGGATGGAGGTTATTTTTTTAAGTTGTCTTTTTTTTTTTTTTTTAATACTTACCCAAGGATATGTTGATTGATTTTAGAGAGGAAGGGGGTGGGAGGGAGGAAAGGGAGAGAAAGAAACAGAAATATCAATTGCTTGTCTCCTGTACATGCCTGGACTAA